CGGCGTGTCCAAGCTCTCGGAATCCCGACCCCTCCCTGCCATGTATCCGCAAGGCAGACATCCGGTGAGTAATTGCAACTCGGTTTATTTGAGCATCTATCAAGGCTGGGTAAAGGAGGCAGTTAGCTGGCACCTCCATTTTGCTTATTGCTACCTTTATGGTTGCGTGTGCGTGTGTATGTGTGTGTGTGCGCACAAAGAGGATGGGGGTGGAGGGAGCCGTTGGGAGGAGAGGTTAATTCCGCCCGAGTGCCGTGGGGGAGCTGCGGGTGATAGTGGGGGAACTGCTTTCACGCTGCTCCTCCCCCCACCCCCACCGCATGTATCCGCCCCCACCTGACTGGGGCATGGGAGCCCCTTAGAGAAGGGGATGGGAGCCCCGCGGCTGGGAGGGAGGGGCTGGGCACCCTCCACCCCCTACCCCCACCCACACACACTCTGGGTCACGGGCTGAGAAACTTGCTTGGAAGGTTCTGGGCCGGTGGGGCGCCGGCGCGGGGAGACCGAGGGACTGTGCGGCGGGGCCCCGAGACGCTCGGAGCCCCTGCCTGATGTCCCCGCCCCCTTTCCTGCCTTGTCCTCCGGGGTTCCAGGCTCCCCATCAACCCGGGCAGCCAGGATTTAAATTCACGGTGGCGGAGTCTTGTGACAGGATCAAAGACGAATTCCAGTTTCTGCAAGCTCAATATCACAGGTAAGGCCCGTGGGGTCCGCCCTGGGACTGGCTGGGAGGGGGTGCCCCAGCCTAGCCTCTTGCCATCCCCGCCCGGGACTGAGGGGGGCTCCTGGCTGCGGGGTGACTGGGCAGCCCGGCCTCCGCCTTTTGTTTCCCCTTTCTGAGCTCGGCGCCTTAACCCTTCGCAGCCCGCATTCTCCGGACTTAACAGTGCCTCCTGGGAACGCCACCCCGCCACCCCCCGTCCCCGCACACCCCCATCCCTAGGCCGAGGGTTGGAGTTTCGGCGGGACTGTCCCTGGGGCTCCGGGTCAGGGGCCTGCTCCCCTTCCTGCGTCAACCCCCCCACCCCAACCCCTACACCCGGATGAGTGCTTTGGGTCCGCCGCGGGAAGTTTCAAGTTGCCTCTCTGCCCCTTCCTCATGGCGGGGACGCACATTCCCCCGCCGCCAGGAGGCAGTGAGGTCATGGGGGGCCAGAGTAGTGGAAAAGTGGCCCTCCGTGGCCCCTGGATTGGGACCTCGGAGGAGGCTGTGCAGGCAGCAGGTTTGAGCCGGCTCCTTCTGCCCTCGCAGCCTTAAAGTGGAGTACGACAAGCTGGCTAACGAGAAGACGGAGATGCAGCGCCATTACGTGATGGTGAGAGGCGGCCTAGGGCCTGGGAGGGCGAGGGCGCCCACCCAGCTGGTGGTCACGGGAGGGGGCACTAGGGAGGAGTACGCCCCCGCGGGCCAGTATCTGGGAGCACACTAACTTGTGTGCCCTGTGACCTCTGTCCTTGTGCCCTCTCCCCTTAGCCTGGGTCATTTGGAGTGGGGCGGTGGAAACAGGAGTTGGCTGGCCACCAGAGGCAAAAACCCAAATTCCAGGCCAGAGGCTCCTGAGCCACCCTTGTGTTGCTACTTGTGTTCAAGGTTTCCCAGGGGATCAGGTGCCAAGTCTTGGTAGGATTGGGCCAGTCCATCTCAGGGGTGGATAAAAATCTTTCTCAGGGATGTTTGGAAACTTTGGCCCTGCAGCTCTGGAATCTATCCCCAGAGTCCACCCGCAGCCTCCCCACTCCCTACCCCTCTCCTGTCTCAAAGGGCTTCTGGCTTGGAGAGGAGCCTTTCAAAGGCTTTCTCCACCAGGCCCCTTCTCAGGGGATTACCCCCACCTCTCTCCCCCAAGGTCTTTTCAGCCCCAGGGGCAGTAGGTAGATTGACTCCCTTTTCTTAGCTTCTGTTCCAGCAAATTTAAATCTCCTATTTGTGAGAGGACCTGGAAGACACTTAAGTGCCTGCCACTCCCTCTACCGCTTTCCACATGAGAGGCTTCGCCACGTTGCTAAATAACTCTCAGTGGGCCAGAGGGTCTCGGTGTTCACACGATTCCCTGTTGAACCCAAACGTTGTAGAAACAGAATGTGTGGCACCTGCATTGCTTGTTTTCCAAGCAGGGCCCCAGCTCTTCTCCTTACTGCAGGTATGCTATTCTGCCAGTTGGGTGAGAGACAGCTGCCCATGATCAGCAATCTTCATCTCTAGAGGCCAGCCTTGGGGGTTGATTTTTAAAGTCTTCAGCAAGTGTGTCATAAGACCAAAGCCTTCCCAAGGGGAGGGGGCGGGGGAGAGGGGGGGAATTTAAACAGTGAACAGATTCCTGGGTTGCTTGTTAATAGGCCCCTCTTTGTCTTTGTAGTACTATGAGATGTCCTATGGCTTGAATATTGAAATGCACAAGCAGGTAAGCTCTTTCCTCCTTAAGGAGTACATTTAATTAAGCAAACACTGTACAACCTGATATATGTGTGGAATTCTTATGCCTCTTCCTCCTGTTTGAAACTCCAGCCTGGTCATGTGTGCCGCCACTGCGCCGTCGGGGCCCCCCCGCCTCCCCGTCCCAGTTCTTCCCCGGAAGGGTGAAGGGACCCAGCCCTTGAGTTGCTAGCTCATTTCTGGGTATATACTGAGTCTTAAGCTTGGAGCTTGGAGATTGGTCCTGGTCTTGGATCTCAGTGGAGGAGAAGGGACCAAAGGGAAAGTTGGACCTTTGGG